CCTCTTGTCCAGTTCTGATCTAGGGGCATTTTGGGGATTTTACAGTAATTTTTTGTTTTTGTTTCCTTCTGTGTATCTATGTAGTCGAATAGAAAACTCAATTTTAGGGGGGGTTTCTTCTTCGTGTTTTTCCAGAAAAACTTGTTTCGACCTCCGTTTCAAGCCTCAGTTCTGGACACTCAATTTTTTTTCTTGTTGTCAACATGTGCATGTCATTGGGCGCCGGGCGTGCCGTGGCCTTCGTCGGGCCGCCGCGACGTCACAACTTCAAATACTCGTTTCTCCCTCGTCCGGACTCCAAATTGAATGAACTTTTTTTTGAACTTGACTAATTTTTCACTGTCTTTCAAATGGTGTACTTAGTTGTACCCAGATCTTTCTGAATAATTACCAGTTTACCCTTTTTGCTTTAAGTGCTCGTTTTTCTTCGTCATGCCGTTTCTCCTTTGTTCGGACTCTAAATCATGCGATTCTTGAGTCTATCTTGATTAGTTTTTCGTTGTCCTTCTAGCAGTGTGCTCGGTGGAGCTCGAGTCCATAGTTTTCAGAAATGACTATTTTGCCCCTGGGGGCTTATTTGTCATATTTTCGATCTTTTGCTTCCGCATCAGTTCTCATTAAGTTCCACGACCTCATGGAAGGTCACTTTGACTTCTTAGAGTCTTGTTTACTATTTTCACTTCCGCATTTGGATCCGTTATCGGGTCAATCTTCTGTTCTTCACAGGACGTACTGGTTTGAAAAACCAGGGTCGTTACACCCAGCGCATAGCTTGTATACATGCTTCAACTGTAAAAATTCAGACAAATGATCCTTGCAGTTAAGACTTATAGCTCGCCAATGGTTTATGTAGTCAACCACAAGCTTGTCCTTCATTTGTTTAGTGTTAGTAAACTCTAATATGCTCACTATTTGCGAGTACTGTAGAAGCGGTTGAGAAATTCTCACTCCATTTGCTCCCAACTGTCAATACCTCCAGCTTTGAGGTCAGTGTACCAATCAAATGCATTCCCTTTGATGGAACGAATGAATTGCTTGACAAGGAGATCTCCGTCTGTACCAACATTGCCGCAAGTTTCCACGAAGTGTGCGACATGTTGCTTGGGATTGCCTTTTCCGTTAAACTGTTGAAGCTTTAGAGGTTGATACCCAATTGGCATTTTTAAGCTATCAATTCTTTTTGTGTAAGGATTTGAGTACATGTGAGCACTTTAAAGGATGCCACTGTATTTTTTTCTCACACAATTCACTATTATGTCTTGAAGTTGTTGGATAAAAGTGTGGCGATGGAGGCAACTTCAATTACTTGGTTGGCAGACATGTTATTTTGATTATCAATTGGAGTGATCTCTGGTATAGAATCAGAAGGATGAATTTGACCTTTGCTTAACTCAACAATGTGGTCACGCAATTTTAACCTTTCTATCAGCGAGGCAATTTTCAGATCTTGCTCATTGAGAGTTTGTCATAGTATTTTAATTACATAGGCCATACTCGTCAATTAATCTTCAAGCAAGGTAGTACTGGTTATCATGACTGACACAGTGACTACGTCAGAGAAGGTATTTGGCTTTAGGTGGACCAGCCTTGAGCTTAAACTTGTGACTGGAGCAACCTTTGAGGTTGTAGGAACCTTCAATTCCTTGCCCCAGCGAGGTGAATGCAGTATGAGTTTGAATTTTTACTTTGACAGATATGGCGGAATCGACTTTCATCGTATCGTGTTATCTTTTGGTAGGAACGAATGCTTTGACTACACTCCACATCATTGAACTTGCAAAGATGTTTGTGCCACTTAACGAAGTTGCAACCTTCTTGCCACCTTTTGTCGTGGTATTGATGTTGTTCGTCATAACTGCGGTGTCCTTGAGGGTATTCTTGTTTTTCATCTGAATCTTGTTGGAAGTCGTAAATTCTGACGATGAGAATTTGATGTAGGAGAAGAGATGAGAGACAAAAGAGGTCCCACCGGGCGTGCTAGAAATTTATATTCGTATCTACAAATTAAAAGAACGAAATATGGGACAAATAATAAGTTATTAATTTATAAAAATTCAAATACAATCCTCTAAGGTATTCTTTACAAAAGAAAGAAAGTATCCTCTGATTCAATTTCCTTCGTTGGTTGGATCCAAAGGCTGATGGAGCTTCATCTTGAATCAGACTGTTGACAATCTTCTTCAAGTATTTGTACTTGAGGAGGACCACTGATGATTTCTAATCAAAGGCTAATGAAGGTTGATCTCAAACAGTGTTGTTTGGTGATTCTTCAAACTTATTGAATCGCAGAGAAAGAACGGCACGATTTTGGATGTGCTTATTATTCTTCGTCTTCAGAGAATTTGTTGAATTTGTGGAAGAACAACATGGCTTTGGTTGTGCTTGTTACTCTTTTTCTTCAAGGCTTAGGCTTGAGTGTTAGGGATGAATGTCTGCAGAAATTCTGTATTTTACTCTGGAATTCTATACTTCTGAGCCTCTGAATTTTTGCACCCTTCCTCATTTCTCTATGCCTTCATTTATAGGCTTCTTGGATTAATAGGATAATGTCATGTTCCTCTCTTGATAAGGACATAATTATAACTGGGCCGGGCCTATTTTTCTATGATAATTATCCATAAAAAAATAATTATTCCAAATATATTTTATTAAAAATAATTATCTTTTTATTCAATCACTTAGGCTGGGCTAATTAAATAATTTAAGTTGACCAAGTTTGGGCCAATAAAATAATCTAATTTAACATGAAACCCATATTTGATGGGTCAATTTGTTAAAACAAAAGCCTGTGAAAATTTAGTGTCTACATGCATATCAAATAATTAAGTTATTATTCAAGGATGAATCTATTAAATCCTAGCTCAGTAGGGGGCAATTGGCACCATTGATTTTTTTTTTTCTTCTTCTTATTATTATTTTTTAGTTGAATGGGTAAACTTGTATAAATAAAATAAAAATATGTACACAATCCATGCAAATGGACACATTAGGCCCTAGGAACACTCACCCAGGGCAACAACAGGTTATAACTGATGAGCGCTGTATATTGCATATTTGAGCCCCTAAATATACGTATGTTAGGAACTTAAATGATACTTTATCCAATTTTATACTGATTTATGTTTATTTCGTGTTTGTAGGTACTTTCCAAAAGAAATGGTTAAAACTGAGACTTTAAGATGAAAAGACTAATATCAAAGTTTACAGAATTTGCATTTGAATTTTGATCGGTGAACTGGATTTGTCAAGGGGTATGCACTCATTGAATATGAGACCTTTGGAGTTACACAGAGTCGTTGCCGGTCATTCAAAATAAGCCAAGAGTCAAAATGGTGAAAATTGGAAAAATTCAAGTGTCAAAGCTCGAGCCTTAGTTCCATGGTCCGAGCTCAACAGAAAGAAACAAGAAAATCCATTAAGGCAGCAAAGTTTGAGCTTTGAATTCCAGAGCTCGAGCCCAATCTTAGGGTGCTCGAGTCTTTGCCTAAAAGCTCGAGCACATTAGGCGTCGGAATGTGAAAAGTTATTTTAGAAAAACCATGCTTAAGGATGGCAAATTCCCCATCCCCGTAGGGGCCCCGCCCTGCCCCGTTTATAGCGGGGATGGGGATCCTTTTAGGTAAACGGGGATGGGGATGGGGATAAATAATGAAAACCCGCCGGGGGCAGAGATGGGGTAAACCCGCCCTGATTAAATATAAAATTACTAATATACCCTTATATATAATAAATTATTACTTAAATTAGATTTAGTATATTTATGAACATTTTGTCTAACCCTAACCTTAGCCACTTCGTTTCTTTCTCTCGTCTTAGAGAAAGAATCTGAACAAGTGACCACAACGGCAGAGCTTGACACCCACTCTGTCAATTTGTCATCCTCCCTCAAACACCGGCGTCATCAGATCATCACTCAAGTCACCGACTCACCGACGTCCAGTAAGTTATTTTGGTTACTCTGTTAGGTGTTAAGATCTCTTTGTTTCTCGGATTTACTAGGTCTTATGTGCTTCTGCTATTGCTAATCTATATTTAACTGTTTATCTCCTACTTCCTCTTTAAGCCATAAGCTTTTTTTTCGGAGTTCCTAAGATGGGATTCATCGCGTGACTCGCGTCAACGATGTGCTCTCTGCGGGATCTTCTAATTCTTCTTCTTGGATTTTCGCTGTAGGTTCTTGCAATTTATTAATTTTTGTTTGTTTTGAACCTTTTGGACCTCAATTTTGTGGGGTTTTCTTCTTTGTTTTCAGTTGGTAATTACTTGTGTTGATTGTTGTTTTGTAATTTTATTGAAAGTTTCATGTACCCTCTATTTAGTTGCTGGAAAAATAGAGGAAGGAAAAAGTAAAAGGAAAATTTTAAGGGTTAACATCTATTACTGTATGTTTTCTGGAAAAAAAAAAAAAAAAAAAGCCCAACTTAGCAAAATTTTTGTGTCAGATTTAATTGTTTTGATCACTTAAGTGAACCCAACCTAGCAAAATTGTTGTCTTTTGCAAGTATTTTCTTATGATTTTCATTACTTAAAAACTTGGGCCATTTGCTCTTTCAAAAGTGTTTGTTAGCTTCATCTTTGGAATAAAAAAGTTAGATTGATTGTTGTTTTTTATTTTTATCTTCAGCATAGTAACTTTAGAGATGTCAAATGGAGAATCCCAACCTCAAAATAATGTTGTAGATCCTTTAACAAATGTTGTTTCATCATCAGCTACGGTTCCTACTTCACTAGGAACCCCTGATGAGACAATTATTTCTTCAGAGAGAAAAAGAAAATTGACATCAGTAGTTTGGAATGCTTTTTCAAAGAAAACAATTAATGGTGTGTAATATGGTATTTGCAACCATTGTAAGGCAAGGTTGAAAGCACCAAGTAATTATGGAACCAAGAGCCTGCATGACCATATGAAAATTTGCAAGAAACGAAAGAGAAATGGTGACTTCAGACAATTTTTTTTGCAATCCAATATTATAAAGAATCAAGGCACTAGTGAAGCACAAATGGAATACTGTAATTTTGTATTTGATCAAAATGTCTCACGACATGAGCTTGCTTGCATGATCATAGTACATGAGTATCCACTTTCCATGGTCAACCATTCTCGTTTTCGAAAGTTTGCTAATAGTCTTCAACCTTTGTTTAATATGGTTTCCCGAAACACAATCAAGGGTGACATTTTAAAGATATATGATTCTGAGAAGGCTAAAACAAGCAAATTTATGGAGGAGCTTAATGGTAGAGTTGCCATTACTTCAGATATGTGGACTTGTAATCACTCAAAGAAAGGTTTTATAGCGGTAACAACTCACTTTATTGACGATTCATGGAAATTGCAACGAAGAATTTCAAGGTAAATTTATTATATGCATTATTTCTATCTATTAGAAATATATTGTATACTTAGTTTATGTGCAAACAAATGCGAGTATGTATTATTTGTTTATTAATGATGCATATATTTTTATTTTACTATGTTTAGGTTTATGTATGTGCTTGCTTCACATAATAAGGAAATTCTTACAGAAGTGCTTATTAATACCATGTTAGATTGGAATATTAAAAGAAAGTTGAGTACCATTACCTTGGATAATTGCACCACAAATGATGCCATGATTGGTAGTCTCTTAGACAAGATTGATTCAAGTACACTCTTACTTGAGGGGAAGGTTCTTTACATGAGATGTTGTGCACATATCCTGAATTTAATTGTGAAAGATGGGTTAGAAGTAATGGGGGATGGGATTGAAAGAATCCGTGATAGTGTATATTTTTGGATAGCAACTCCGGGTAGGATTGAAATTTTTTTAGAATCGGCTTGCCAATTAAAGATTCCATGTAATAAAAAGCTATGCTTGGATTGTAAAACTCGTTGGAACTCTACATATCTTGTGCTTCAAGTTGCTTTAATATATAAAGATGTGTTCCCAAGGTTGGAAATACATGAGAGGCTTTACACTGAAATGCCAACTATTGAAGATTGGGAAAGGGAGAAAGAAATTTGTGCAAAGCTAAAATTATTTTATTCTACTACGGAGTTGTTTTCTGGATCTAATTATCCTACTTCAAATGGCTATTTTCAAAAAAATTTTGAAATTAGAGTTGCATTGTCTAGTTGGCTTGAAAGCCCACTTGAGATCATTAGAATGGTGGCAGCAAAAATGATGGTGAAATTTCTGAAATATTGGGATGTTTGTTATGAGGTGATGGCAATGGCGGTGGTGTTAAATCTACGATACAAAATGAAATTGGTTGAATATTATTTTCCTAAAATTTATGGTGGTGAAGCATTAGATAAAATTGAAAAGGTTCGACAAAGTTGTTATGATTTAGTTTGTGAGTACCAAAGCAAAGCAATCTCAAATGTAAATAGTGCAGGGAGTTCATATTCTAATATTCCTTCTTCAGTTGAAGATGTGAATTTTGAGGAGGATGATGATCTCTCAAAGTTTGATTTGTTTGTGAACATGAGTTCAAGTAATGTGCCAGCAAAGAGTGAGCTGGATTTTTACTTGGATGAAAATGTGTTGCCTAGAACAGCTACTTTTGATGTCTTATGTTGGTGGAAGACAAATGGAATTAAGTTTCCTACTTTGCAAAAGATTGCTAGGGACATCTTAGCTATCCCCGTGTCTACAGTATCATTTGAGGCTGTTTTTAGTCCACATCGTAGCAGAAAGCATCCGACTACTTTGGAGGCTTTGATGTGTGCCCAAAGTTAGTTATTGAGTGAAGAAGATGGTAATTAATTCTAAAAATTATGTTATAAAATTATTTTATTTATTTAATAGCTATCTAAAATATTTTGTTTTGTTTTTTAGGAGCTCGTGCATACTTAAACCCATCCAATGCCAATATATTTTGCGATTGTGATGATGAATGATGATTCTTCAAAATATGATGTTTTGAACTAAGGTATTATTTTATTTTTATTTTTATTTTTTTGTTAGCAATATATTTTATTCTTGCTGCTGGAACAATTTATTTTCAACAACAACAACAACCAAAAAAAAAAAATTGTATCTTAGATAAATAACTGACAACAGATCTTGACTCTCTAGCTCTTAACAACTCAGGCCATACAAACTTGCTTTTTTGAAGTGACTCTCTCCAGCTCTTAACAACTCAGGACATGCAAACTTGCCTTTTTGAAGTAACTCTCCAGCTCTTAACAACTGAGGACATGCAAACTTGCTTTTTTGAAGTTACTGTCCAGCTCTAACAACTCAGGACATACAAACTTGCTTGTTTGAAGTGACTGTCCAGCTCTAACAACTAAGGACACGCAAACTTGCTTTTTTGAAGTGATGCATGGATGACTTAATATATTTGGAACTTTTTTTGTTTTAGCTACTTTTGTTCCATTTAGTCAAGGTTGATGTTTGTTTGGAATGATATATTTTTGTTTTTTGGAAATCTGTAATTCTATCTGGCATCTTTGACCTTATTTAAACTCTGGTAATTTTGTTGCATTTAGTATGAGTTTATGCTTCCAGAATCTAAAGAAAAGTGAAATTTTGTGTCAAATGTTAACTTAGATGAATTGGATCAGTTTGAGTGCCAGCCATCTTAAGCTCATTTAAAAATGTATTGCTTGGTTTAGTTTTTTGGAACAACTTTCAAATAGAACTATAATAAGTGTTCTTTAAATTTTGTTCTTTTTCTAACTTAATTTTTTAGAAACATTAAATTTTGTGCTATAGCAATGGGGCCGGGACCGTGGCGGGGCGGGGACGGGGATCAAGTGTCGAGGGCGGAGGCGGGTATGGGGATTTTGGCAAAATTCATCGAGGATGGGGATGGGGAATGCAATCCCCGCCCCACCCCGCCCCGTTGCCATCCCTAGCCATGCTTCCAAGACCTTGTGCCAAGACTCAAGGGATTGAGTACTGTTCCGCAAAGCTCGAGCCCACAGCCAAGAAGTTTGAGCTCCAAACCTAGGGCTTGAACACCATGAAGGAAAGATCAAACACTGTTAAAAGAAGAAATCCAAAAATATTCCAAGTGTTGATGAAAAAGATGCTTTGAAAAAAATTTGAAGAAATTTGGCCCTTTACCTGAAAGCTCGAGCCCTGTTCCAAAAAGCTCGAGCCTAAGCTTCTAAGCTCAAGCTCTTAATGACAAATCAGAATTTTTATATGCAGGATTTGTCTTGATTAAGTCCTTTTTCATCCAATATGGGCCTAGATGACATCAGAATACCTAAAAGTCCATCAGAACCCTAATAGAAGTTAATTCTTCTATAAAAGAAGGCACAAGACCATAGAAAAACTCTCTCGATTTATTCTGAATCCTCTCATATTGTGGTGGTGGCTTTTAGGATTTCTGTAGTGCTAGAAGGTGAAGATCACAACAACACAAATGATATCTTGCGGCGTCATAAGTAGCTAATTCCTCTCTTAGGGCATTGATGTAACCTGATCTAAGTACTATGGTTTGATTGTTTTAACTTTGGAAATTTAAAGATTTATATATTTTGATTGCATGATTATGAGCAATTGAGTCACATCAATTGGTATTTTAAAGAAATAATAGTTTTTGAGTAATTATTACCTTGTCTTAGATATAATTGTTCTTAAATTATTCTCAACCCATTCTTATTGGACAGTATCTGGTGGAAGCCTATTGGGCATAAGAATGGAGATCATGCAATGTTGTTCCAATGTCTTTTATGAATGAATATTTTCATAGGCTATGCTTAGGAAAGATGGATTATACTGCAAAATTAGTTAGAAGTAGGTAGGTGGATAATTCATGCTAACCGTAGATAGGTTATAGTTTATTGAAATTCATAAAACATCTTTCTTTACAACCGAATTAAATGAATGTTCTTGAGTTTAATTCATATGATATACAAATTGTTGAAATCCTAAGGTTGAACGATTGACCATATATAAGGTTCGTGGTGAAGTCAAGACCTAAGACTTTTTCTCTCTGATCTCTTTACCTTAAATTAGTTTTATTTTATTTTATGTTCGTGACAAACAATCAATCAAAACATCTTTTATCTTTGAATAAAAATTGGATTAATTAGAAATAGAACAAGTAACACTCATCTCTCTGTGGGATCGACATCCTCTATATAGTCTTATCCTACAAATATTCATATTATTACTAGTGGTATATTTTGACACACATCAATTCTTGGCGCTGTTGCTGGGGAGATTTGTGTTTATTAGTTTTTTTTTTTTTTTTTTTTTTTTTTTTTTTTTTTTTTTTAATTAGTTTGTTTTGGTAGGACTTTTAGATATCTCAACTTATTTCTTTTTATTTTCAAGTGTAGGAATCTAGCAGTGAGGACGAAGACACCTGGTCGTCGTCCTACCACAAGCTTAAGAGTGTGCATTAAAGCGAGGGCCAAGTTTTACATTTATAGAAGCCACTACTACCTTCACTAAAAATATAGTTAGGGTGAGTAGGGATCGTCCTAAGGGATTGGAGTCGAATTTGGTTGTGGATTCACTATTAGGGTTAGTAGGTCTAGTGATCAAACAAATAGTTGGTTGGTTGATTAAACTAGAGAGCAAATTAAACTAAATAATGGAATGCAATAAAGAGTAAGTAAGAGAGAGAGAGATCTTGGGGTTTAGAGGTCACCACCAAACAATGTTTTTCTATACCCTTAACAAGTGACTAATGAGGGAAATATGTGTTGCAATATTGATGTGTGTGTTTGTTTAGTTGATTCAATTAACAAGGGTGACCAATTAAGTATATATTGTCTAAGCAACATGTTAAAAGCACAATATATCTAACAATTAAGTATATATTGTCTAAATAGCATGTGAAAAACACAATATATCTAGCAAGTCATTAATCCTTTCATTAAGCTCACAAGCCAAATACACCACAAGGTTAGAGACATATGCTACTTGCATTCAAAAGTATGAAATATCAAACAACAAGCATGGATTGTCCTCTCATCTAACAACTATGCTACCACTACACTACAATTAAGCTAATGACATGAAATTAAACTAATTAAGCTAAGGGAGAGGCACAATCTATCAAGAAACGAGCATGAACCATTTAGAAAATTACAAGAGCATTCCATTAAGCACTATGTTTTGATAATCTTTAAATATATGGCATTAATACACATAGACATGCATCAATAACATAAGAAATAAAGACAAACATATGAGCATCTATTCTAGCATACATAGACATATGGATATAATGAAATGATCAATTGGAAGCATTAAACCACATAAATCATTGAATAAACAAGATCTATATATATATATAAGTGCCAAAACATGTATTACAACACTAATACCTCAATAATACACAAAATCAAGATGTAGAAAGCATGTTTGGGGCTAACTCTAGCCCCAAGAGGATGTCTAGCCACTCATGGTAGTGCTTCTCCAACCCTCAAGGGCTAACTCCATGGTAGAGATTTGCTCCTTGGTTGATGAAGAGTCTCCAATGGTGTCTCTAGCCTCATCCTCCTCTAAGCTTGCTCTCCAAGAGTTCTTACAAGGTATGAGATGATATGATGTGATATGATGTAAAAAGTAATCCTCATCCCTATATAGGTAGGTCAAAATGACACACAAAATAAGCTGGGGTCGTGCACAAAATATTCCCCAATGATTGGATAAAAGACAACTTTTTGTGAGCTGGAGATTTAACTTTTTCGCACTAGAGGAAGTTCGATCGATCAAACCTTGGACTTGGATCGATCGAACATGGCTTAGATCTATCGAACTAAAGTTGGATCGATCCTCAATGGCGGCGCTTTTTGGATAAATACAAATCTGAGATATTTTGAAGATATTTTTGGGAAAAGGACAAAAGTGGTTGGTAGGGTAGTACAACTAGATAAGATTAATCATTTGGATAAGGACAAGGTAGTTCAATCGATCGAAGAATGATGTTGGATCGATCAAACTTTTGAGATCTCTAAAAATGTCATCATGGCTTTGATCCATCTTGAAGTGCTGAGATTGATCATATTGGATCGATCAAACTTTGATCTGAGATCGATCGAAGATGTTGATTTCCACATTTTTCTTCCTTTTGCTTCCACTTGGCTCATTTCTTTGATTCATCCAAGAATTGCTTCATTTCTGCTCTTATTTGGCTGAGTTAGCTTATTTTTGGGATAAGTGCCTGAAAATGAAAATAATACGAAATCAATCTAAAACGATAAAGTAAGATAGATAAAAGTACTAGAATGCCTAAGCTTAAAGGGTTTAAATACGCACTTTTCAGTGCTCATCACACCCCTAAACTTAAATATTGCTAGTCCCTAGCAATGAACTAAAAAGTAAAGGAATGAAATGAATAACTAAACAACTATGAACTGGAAAATAATAAATGGATAGCATCACTTTCGTAGGGAACACGATTGCACTTAGCACATGTAATAAGCCTTTTAAACTCCTAGGTTACCCCTAGTGGACGAGTGAAGTCTCGTGAGGGTTTCCAGAAATGGTACCCACAAACATTAAGCTCATTTTCACAAAAGAGGCACCATTATTGCAAACAAGCATTGGGAGAAAACTACCTCAAATATGCAATTTTTCAAACATTTCTAAGCAATCTCCCAAAATCTTAACATCAAGCAAGTAAGTATGGTCCTCCACACATCAAGAAAATGATCATGCAAATTAAAACAACTCTAGAATCTTTTTTGAGTGGACCGGCATCACATATGTTGTTATCTAAGCCAACTAAAGAATTAATCACATCCTTACCCTCAAACTAGCACACA